TTAAAAGCTTAAATAAAACTGATAAACCATTAGCTAACCTCCTAAAAAAAGACTCAAATTCATGCAATTAAGAATGAAAAGGGTGAAACCGAAACAGATTCTGCAAAAATGAGGATCACCAATATGTACTTCAAGAACCTGTACTCAAATAAGATGGAAAACAGAAGAAAGGACAGAATATTTAATATATATGAATCACTAAAGCTGAATCAAGATGATATAAAAATTCCAAATAAATCAATATTCGGGGGCTGGGGGTTTAGCTCAGTGGCACAGTGCCTGCCTGGCAGGCGCAAGGTTGTGAGTTCAATTCCTGGTACCAGAAAAAAAACCAAAAACCCCCCCAAAAACAAAAATTCAATATCAGTCAATAAAATTGAAAATTAGATTACTTATACTGGACATTCTAACTAAAGCTACCAAATCAGGGAAAGAAATGAAAGGCACTCATACTGGAAAGGAAGTGATAAAATTGTTCAATTAGAACCTGCCAATAGAAAAAAGCCCAGGTGCTGATGGATTCACTGCTGAATTCTACAAAAAATTAGAGATCTGATACCACTGCTCTTCAAATTCTTTAATGAAATTTAAAGGGAAGCAATACTCCCAAACTCATTCCTAGAAGCAAGCATTGCCCTGATACCAAAACCAGAGAAGAATCCAACCAAAAGGAGAATTACAGGCCAATCTTCCTAATGAACATAGATGTAGAAATCTCCAACAAGATGCTGGAAAGCAATGCAACAAATCATGATGATTTTAAACCATGAACAAGTAGGATTCATCCCAAAGATTCAGGGATTGTTGGACATACACAAATTTAAAAAGTATTACACAATATTAACAGAACCAGGCACAAAAATCACATGATCAACTCAATAGGTGCAGAAAGAGCATCACAAAATCCAACATCCATTCATGAAAAGACTCCTACATAAAATTGGAATAGATGGCCTTTATCACAATTCGGTAAAAGCCACCTATGACAAACCAACAGGCAACATCATACTAAATAGTCAAAAACTAAAAACTTTCACTCTAAAACAAGGAACAAGATAAGAATGTCCATTATCACCACTCCTATTCAATATATTTCCAGTAATACTAGCCAGAGCAGTTACAAAAGAGAAAGGAATAAGGACAGAAAAAGAAGTAAATTATTATTTGCAGATGACAGAGTACTCCATATAGAAGACACCCCAAAACTCCACCAAAACACTTCTAGACTTAATAACCAAATTCAGTAGTGTAGCTGGATACAAAGTCAACACTGAAAATCAATAACATTCCTGTACACAAACAACTAAGTCACCGAGAGGGAAATTGGGGAAACTATATCTTTCACTATAGCATCGAAAATGAAATACTTAGAAATCAGTCAGATGAAGGAAGTAAAAGAGCTACACATTAGAAACTATTGTTCTCTGAAAAAGGAGATAGAAGAGGATATCAGAAAATGGAAAGATATCCCTTGTTCTTGGTTAGGAAGAACCAATACAGAGAAAATAGCCATACTTCCAAAATAGTTTTACAGGTAAATCCAGTCACAATCACAATACAAGTAACATGTCTCACAGAACTAGAGAAAACAATCCTAAAATTCATTTGGAACCAGAAGGGATCTAGAACAACTCAAACAATTCTTGGCAACAATAGCATGTCAGGAGTCACTACAATCCCTGACTAGAAATTATATTATAAAACTGCAGTGATAAAAAACAGCATGATACTGGCAAAATAAAACAAAACAAACAAAAACCCAGACCCAAGAATCTATGGAATAGATTAGAAGATGCATAAACAACTCTAAACACACTGAGCTACCTCATCTTTGACAAAGGGGTTAAATAACACTCAGTGAAAGAAAGCCTCTTTAATAAATGGTGCTTAAAAAAAAAAACTTGGCTTTTCATATGCCAAACATGAAAACTGACACATATATCTCACTATGCACTAATCTAAAATTGAAATGGATTAAAGATCTAAATATTAAAACAGAAACACTAAATGTGATGAAAGATAGAACAGGTAGAACGCTTGGAGACACAGGTGTAGGGAAAGACTTTATGAATAAAACCCTCATTTGCACAGGAAATATTACAAAGAATCAACAACTGAGATCTCATCTTATTAAAAAGCTTTCTTTCACACAGCAAAAGAATCTACCAACAGAGTAAAGAGACAACCCACAGAGTGGGAAAAATTTTTCCAGGTGTTCTTCAGACAAAGGACTAATATATAGAATATACAAAGAACTAAAAAAAAATCAATGTTTTTATTTTAAAGAGAATTAAAAAATAACAAAATAAGAATAACATAGACAAAAACAAAACGAAGCAAAAGCAATAAAAATGATACAGGGTTTCAAAACAGAATGATAAAAATTAACAGTGGTTATTATATTCAATGAAGTTGCTCAATTACCAAATGTAAGAATGCAAGATTGATCAAACCATTAATGAGAATAAAAAAGAATTTAAAAAAATTAGAAACGATACAGAGCTTCACTAGATAAGATGGTAGGAATTCACCAATGGTTGTTATACTGCATAGTGTTGTCTTAGAATTAGTTCTTCAGATTACCAGATATAAGTATGTAAAAGTACTGGAAAAAAATTAAGCATTAATTGTTCCTTTCAATAAACCATTAGACATCAGCAATACAATTATCCCAGCTATCCTTCTATATACATACATACTTTTCCCTTCCTTCTTTCTTTCTTTCTTTTTCTTCTTTCCCTCATTGCAATTGTTCCTTCCTTTGAGCAATTTCTTTCCTTTCATAATATCTATTGTACATTTTGGGTTTTTATTTACTCTTTCAGATTC